CGTGAAACTTTTGTTTCATCAGCTCCTTTATAGAATAATTTAAGAGATAGATGGAATACATGAAAAAAATAATTCATAACATCTATGTCAGCCTTTCGTTATGAATACAATTAACATTGCTTTTTAGATGATCCATATAGAAAAGGAGTATTCGAACAATCTCTTTTTTTTCTAGTTACTTTGTTCTCTATTTCTATTTGAGAGAATCTTTAGGAAAAGAATAAAATTTCCGTTGAGCTAAAAAAATATGTTGATGTTTCTAGTAAACTAAAAAAATCATTTCATAGCTATTTTGCTTCAATCTCTCCTATACAAAACAAATAATAAAAAAATTGGAAGATTCGGTTATGATTGGAAACAAATTTTATATATCTTTCTCCCTAGATCCTTTACTTATGTTCAAAAATTGGGATTCTGGATCCAATTGCAAAAACTTATGTTTTATAATTTTAGAATCAATTCTAAATTGTATACAAATTATGATAATATATATTATTCCTCGAATTGCTCCTTGAGAGGTATAAAGGATTAAATACCTTTAAGTAAGAAATACAGTTTTTGGTCGTGATATGAATCACAGAAGGGATCCCTTAACTATTACTATTAAGGGGTCGATAGAACGAATCACTCTTTTACCACTAAGCTATACTCGCTACAATAGTATTATTGTATATAAAAACATCTTTTGTCAATAAAAAGATCTTTTGTCAATATCAATACATGAAGGGGAATCAATCATAATTCTTGAAATAGGTACTGAATTTTATGATAAATACAGTGTTCACATGTTTCGTAAAGGGTCCCATAATGAAATTTAGAAAAGGGGGAGAATCACATTTTTTGATTTTATTGAAGGTATTTTGACAGATAGATCTCGACAAAATTACTAAACGAAATTCATAACACAAAAATGCATTGTGCAAGAATCAATAGTTCTATTTCTTTTTTTAGATACGTTAACTGATTAATTCGTATGAATACGATCAAAAAGTTATTTTTATTTTTGTTTGATTGTATTAAAATGTTTTCCATAATTACAAGTTTCTTTCAAATCTGATACAGAAAAATAAATCATTGTGATTCATGGGAAAAAAAGTCGTGCCAGTACGTAGTTGGACTCCGGTTGGATAAAAAAACAAACTAAACAAAAAAGAAAATAAATTTTTTTATATTGCGTATATATAGAATATAACTTTAGTATAGGTGTAATAAAATATAACTAATATTTATGAGTTAATATAGAATTATGAATAGTAATTAAATAAAATGATAATCAAATAGAAAAAAGATAGATAAATAAGATATATCAAATGATGATCAATATCAAATAAGATATGTAGAAGGCTTTTTTGAGCCCTAATTTTTGTTCTTTTTGTTTATCCGAGGTATCATAAGCATAATAATTCATTTTTTTTGAATTGGGGAGAGATGGCTGAGTGGACTAAAGTGTCTGATTGCTAATCCATTGTACGAGTTTTTGTACCGATGGTTCAAATCCTTCTCTTTCCGTTTATTGATGATTTGGCATTTTTTCTTTTGAACTTCTGGATTTTTTTTCATTCCCTATTTGTTTCATTTTTTACTAGTTAAAGATGTAAAATAGATAGAAAAATGAAAAATATTTAAAAATCCAGTATAAGTACGGAAAAGAAAAAATATTTTCTTATTCTTCACGTCCAGGATTACGTCCTGGATCATTAGATAGGAATCCGAAGATGAAAAGAGAAACAAAGAATATCACTATTGTGTAAACAAATAGTTTTAGAGTAAGCATTACAAAATCTCCAAGATAATAAAAAAAATGACAGAGAAAGAGAATAGATTCTCTTGTATTTCATATTATGTTTCCTTTGATACTCAGTTTATAAGAAATGAAGTTATTTCAAAAAAACTAAAAAAATTGATTTGTAGTAAGAGTTGAGCCTTTGTTTTACCATTACCAACAATTCAATTTTCTTTCATATCCACAATAAAGATCCACGTATTGGTGGTAGACTCAAATCGAATAATAGAATAATATAATTTTTATTTTTGAATGGAAAAAAAGGAAATGATGAGATGATCCATATTTTTATTGTCTATCCAAAAATTTCAAGATTTGTAATCACGGATTCACACTGTAAGTCCTATCTTATTTTTAAAATGTTAAAATTTGAGTTTTCTAATAAATTCTGACTTTTTTTTCCGGACATTATTCAAATTAAAGATCTTATCGAAAACTTACAGCAGCTTGCCAAACAAAAGCTAAGAGAAAAAAGAGTAAGGGTATTACTGGCATAAAATCTACAATTGGATTCAAAAAAGCGTAAGCTTCTGGTAATTTCCCCAAGAAAAAACTACTTGAATAAAGGGCAGAGTGAATACAAATACAGATCGAGCTAAAGATGCTAAACATAACAAAAATGTTTTTCTTTAAGAAAAGGAATTGTCTTTTTTCTTTTGTTTTTAATTCTAATTTTGATTGTACTTTTTTAATTATTATATATATGATTTATTCTATATATGATATGATTTATTCTATATATGATATGATTTATTATATAATTTATTATTATTATTATCCATTTTTGTATTATACTTTTATAGTAACAATGAAATATAAAATAAAAAAAATGATTTTATTTATATAGAATAGATAATATATAGAATAGAAATTTGAATAATTTGAAAATAAAAAAGGATAATAATAGAATATAAAATAAAATATTTGAATTTTTTATTATAAAATATTCAAATATTGATTTCCTATTTATAGATATGAAGATTAATAAATCAATAATAAAATGAAAAAAAGAAAGATGAATCAACTAAGGCCAAACCCCCACTTTTTTTGATTTGAACTGAATAAATTCAAACAATGTCTTAATTGAATTTTATGGAATGATCAATAAATTTCGTTTAATTCGATATCGATACATATCAAAATCTAGCAACAATTTATTCTATAGAATAAATTTCAAAGTGTAATTGACGAACAACTCATAATACTATTTATTAATGTCGAATCAAAATGGGGCGTGGCCAAGCGGTAAGGCAGTGGGTTTTGGTCCCGTTATTCGGAGGTTCAAATCCTTCCGTCCCAAATCATATCTATTCAAGATATATACCTATTTCAATACAAATTGTATATCCGAATAAAGATTCTTTTTTTTTTAAGAAATTGATTTTTTAGATTTACAAACCATGAAAATAGAATATTGACTTAATTTCAATTTCTTGACTTTAGAAATAAAATTGTATAGTCAGAAAACCTAAAACCTAGAAGTGAAAAGTATATATTATTATCTATTGATTTAGTCAATGACTATGCACGATTTTGAAATGGAATCAATTACATACCAGATTGAAACTAAAAAATGATATTCTGGTAAAACCTCGTTTGAAATGATGTAGTAAAAAGCAGCGTGGGACTTGAAAAACGTAACTATATTAGTTGCGGATTCTTACATGCCCTATTTTATACTATCTATTTTCTAGTATTTAGAAATAGGGATCCTTGATTTCTTGATTTGAGTGATCTATTTTACATCATAATTATAGACATAATTTAGAATTGAGCCATACGAAGAAAAAACTTCTTATACATTTATAGGGGATATATTATTCATCTATATGAATTCGAATAATCCATCTATCGAATCGTTGAAATTCATGTTCGATCCTGAAGAGAGGGAGGTTATCTTCGAAAATTCCTTTTTTATCCACTAAATAACCCATTCTAATATTCCTATAATCCTATTATTCCAAAATTCGGTGCTCAACTTACATATTAGGAAAAAGTCAAGAAATAAACTAATTTGGTGCATAAATACCGTAGACCAAATGAGGTTTTTTTACTTCTTTTTTTTTTATTCTATTCATTTATTTTTGAAATAGAATAATTGAAAATCGAATTTTATAACTATTCTAATTTTTATATTAGAAATAGTTATTGATTTGATATTCAAATATAAATGATACGTTTTTTCAATACTTATTCGCTCATTATTATTATAAGTTATTAATCCTAGCAATTCTATTTTTATACTTAGTTCGATAAAAAATGATCATCGAATGACTATTCATCTATTATATTTTCATTAAATATAGGAAAATAGATTTATGGAAAGAAATTGGTTCAATTCAATTCTGTTTAATATGGATTTAGAATATAGGTGTGGTTTAAGTAAATCAATAGATAGTTTTGATCCTATTGAAAATAACGGTGTAAATGAAGACCCATCTATTTTAACTGATGACCCATCTATTTTAACTGATATGGATAATGACATTCATAGTTGGAAGAACAATAGTGAAAATGATAGTTACAACCATGGTGATCATTTAGTAGATGTCAACAACATACATAATTTCCTATCTGATAAAACTTTTTTAGTTAGGGATAGTAATAGGAATAGTTATTCCATAGATTTTTCTATTGAAAATCAAATTTTGGAGATTGACAATAATCATTCTTTTTTTAATGAACCAGAAAGTTTTTTCGCTAGTTATCAAAATTATATCTATTTGACAAATGTATCTAAGAGTAATGATCCTAATTACATAGATGATAATCAATCTAATTGGAATAAGAACATTAATAGTTGCATTGAGAGTTATCTTCGTTATTAAACCTGTATTGATAGTTACATTTTAGATGATAGTCACAACTACAATGCCAATATCAATGACTTGAATAGTTACATTTCCGATGATACAAATGATAATGATTTGTATAAATAGAAAATTCGAATGATACAAATGATAGTGATTTGTATCAAATAGAAAATTCGAATGATACAAATGATAGTGATTTGTATCAAATAGAATATTCTAATGATATAAATGATAGTGATTTTACTCCAATAGAATATTCTAATGATACAAATAATAGTAAATTTAATCCAATACAATATCCTGATGATCCAAAAGATACTTCTTATACTCAACAATTTCAGCATTTATGGGTTCAATGCGAAAGTTGCTTTGGATTAAATTATAAGAAATTTTTTTAATCCAAAATGAATATTTGCGAACACTGTGGAGATCATTTGAAAATTAACAGTTCAGATAGAATCAAACTTTTGATTGATCTAGGTACTTATAATCCTATGGATGAAGACATGTTTTCTCTGGATCCCATTGAATGGGATGAACCTTATACGGAAGACAAACCTTCTACGGAAGATAAACCTTATAATGAACCTTATACAGAACACGAACCTTCTACAGAAGGCAAACCTTATACGGAAGACGAACCTTCTCCGGAAGACAAACCTTATACGGAAGATGAACCTTATACGGAAGACGAACCTTCTACAGAAGACAAACCTTCCAACGAACCTTATACGGAAGACAAACCTTCTACAGAAGACAAACCTTAAACGGAAGAGGAACCTTATACGGAAGACGAACCTTATACAGAAGACGAATCTTCTATGAAAGATGAACCTTATACGGAAGACAAATATTCTATGGAAGATGAACCTTATACAGATCGTCTTGATTTTTATCAAGAAAGTACATGATTACTGAAGGCGGTTCAAACAGGCACAGGTCAACTAAATGGTATTCCTGTAGCAATATGTATTATGGATTTTCAGTTTCTGGGGGTAGTATAGGATCCGTAGTGGGTAAGAAAATCACTCAGTTGATCGAATATGCTACCAATCAACTTTTACCTCTTATTATAGTATTTGCGTCCGGAGGAACGTGTATGCAAGAAGGAATTTTAAGCTTAATGCCAATGGCTAAAATATCTTCTGCTTTATATAATTATCAAATCAATCAAAAGTTATTCTATGTAGCGATACTTACATCGCCTACTACTGGTGGGGTTGTAATCTCAAGCCTCAACTCAACTTTAGTTTTGATGAAAGACAAACAAGCTAGTTTGATGAAAGACAAACAAGCTCTATGGCAAGAAGGAAAAGAAGTGGAAATTAGCTTAAAGCATCATTCACTCAAAGCTTCAAGGATCATGGCAAACAATCAAGTATATCAATTCTCATTTGAACTACATTGATTAGAAATGCTCAAAAATGATATACACACTTGCCACAACACTTCACTTAAATTTCAAAACAAATTCTAAGTTTTTCTCTGCTGTAAATCGATTAACATCTTGTGTAAATCGATTTACACATGCTTTTTCAAAAACTGATTGTCTCTGCCAGCAATCGATTTACATGAAGTGTAAATCGATTGATCACAGAACAATGTGAATTTTTAACTCTTGTAAATCGATTTACACAACATGCTAATCGATTTACACTTCAAATTTTTTGAAAACTTGAACGTTACAAACCCGTGCAATCGATTTACATCTTATGTTAATCGATTTACACATTGTAAATTTTGAAAAATCTGAATTAGTTTCAAGATATCCTTCACACCTTTTCTCCAATAGATGCATGGTCATACATTGCATCCTCTCAAGTTTTTCAAACAGAAAAGTGTCCATTTGGAAAGGTATCTTGATTACTTTAAATACAAAATCTTTCAAATCATAAACAACTTTTCTCTTATGCAATAATTCTGAACTTTGTAAAATATTCAAACTTCATATTTCTTAACTTTTAAGAACAAAGATTTTCTGCACTTTCACACATATAAAGAACAGAAATCTTTGAGCATTATCTAACCATTGTGTTACAGTTTGAATTGCTTACAAGAGAAGAAAGAAGAAACTTCAAAGAAGTCATTCTATGTGATCAACATCTTTCAAGAAATCATACTTCATAAAATTATACAAAGTGTAACTTATTTCCAGGATTGTTGGAATTAAGTATTAGATTACTTTTGTTCCTTGTTGTCCATTGTTGGAAACAAGAGGTATCTTTTGAGAGGAATGTTCTCAAGAGACTTATTGGAAATCCAAGAGGGTGTTCTTGGTATTTGTTAGGTTCTTTAGTTGATAAGACTAGGAAGAGTCTTGTAAAAGTTCTAACAAAATAGTGAAATCTCTTGCGTGTTTGCAAGGGGACTGGACGTACTTCCGGGGTGTGGAAGGAACCAGGATAAATCTCCGTGTCTCTTTACTTTCTGCACTTTACAGTTTTCAAAGCACTAAATCAAAACCAGAAAGTATAAAATAAGTCAAAAATCGACCACCACCTAATTCACCCCCCCCCCCTCTTAGGCGCATTCTTAAACTTACAATTGGTATCAGAGCAGGTTATAGGTAACCTGCTCCTAGAGATCCAGAATGGCTTTCGCAAATCATCAACCCGTTTTCAGAGATGGTGGTAGTAACAACAAGCCTCCTCTATTGTGGTGAATATTTTGACTTCTGGAAAATACGCATGAAGGCGCATTTAGAAGCACAAGGAAAGGAAGTATGGGATGCTGTTGAAAATGGTCCATTTATCCCGGTAACGGTAATCAATGGCGTTGGCTCTTCAAAGCCTAAAACTGCATGGGACGACGATGATAAAAAGAAAGTTCTCTATGACAAAAAGGCAATAAACCTTCTTCAAGGTGCACTCAGTATGGACGAATTTTTCCGTGTCTCGACATGCAGAACAACAAAGGAAATTTGGGATACCTTGGTTCAAACTCATGAAGGAACGGCTGAAGTAAAAAGATCAAGGCTAAATACCTTAAGTCAAGAATATGAACTATTTCGAATGCAGCCCGGAGAATCCATTCTTGACTTACAAAAGAGATTTGTGCATTTGACAAATCACTTAAGTGCTCTTGGTAAAACCTTGACAAATGATGAACTCAACTTGAAAGTCCTTAGATCATTGACTAGGGAATGGCAACCAAAGGTAACGGCAATCTCAGAAAAGAAGAGTCTCTCCGCAATGACTTCCGCTACATTATTTGGCAAACTTTAAGAATACGAAACAGAACTCGGTAGACTTGAAAAACATGAGAATCTAGAAAAGAAGTCCAAAAACATTGCTATAAAAATTGATTCAAAGGAAGTTGTAAAAGAAGACAATCCGGAAGAAGATGAAAATTTCATGCTTCTTGTGAAAATACTTGGGAAGTTCTTTGGCAGAAATGACAAAGGCGGATCTCATGCACATAAGAGAAAGCACTTCAAGAAAAGAGAAGCCTCCACATCAACACAAGATGTTTCATGCTATGAATGTGGAAAGCAAGGACATATTAAGCCAAACTGTCCAAATCTCCCAAAGAAAAACGGATTCAAAGGAAAGGACTCAAAACAAAAGAAAGCCTACATAGCATGGGAAGATAATGATATGAGCAGTACATCGGAATCGGAAAGCGACGGATGTGCAAATTTAGCCTTAATGGCATCGCATCACTCCGACGATGAAGAAGAGGTTAGTAATGAATTTAATCTTTTTGATGATGATGTTCAAGGTGCAATTGATGAACTCTTGAAAGAATGAAAAAGTTTATACAAAAAGGTGTCAAACCAAGAAAAAGAACTTCTAATTTGTCTAGAAAAAATTGACACCATGACTAAAGATTTTGATCTTCAAAAACAGAATTTTATAAAAGAAAAGGAAAACTTTGCATGCTCCAAGTGTGAATCAAATGTCTTTCAAATTGTTCAATTGAAAAGAGTCATTGAACGATATGAAAAAGGACAAATAGGATTGGAAGGATTACTAAGCCAACAACGTTATCCAAATGATAAAAGAGGTCTTGGTTATGTGAATACTAAGAAACCAAGTAACAATCCCACTATTTTTGTAAAGGCTAGTAATAGTTCCAATCCCAAGAAAGTAGAAAAGAAGCAAGTTGTTCATAATCATCAAAAGAAAAAGGCTAATGTATCTAAAAGAAAACAAATTCCTAGATACAAGAGCAAATTTGTTACAAACTATTTTTACTGTGGTATTATTGGACACACACCCAATGCATGCTATATTAGAAATTTCAGTATGGCTAGTGGACATTATGCATGGGTGAAAAATGGAACTAACTATGAAGGACCCAAGGCAACTTGGGTACCTAACAAGAAATAATTTGTTTTTGTAGGTATGCTTGAAATCCACATCAAATCGTTGGTATCTTGACAGTGGATGTTCAAAGCATATGACAGGAGATGTACACCAATTTTCATATCTAGTACATAAAGCCAAAGGGTATGTCACCTATGGAGACAACACCAAAGGAAAGATTCTTGGCGTTGGTATAGTTGGCACACCTCCATCCATTCAAATTTAGGATGTTCTCTATGTTGAAGGATTAAAACACAACCTTCTTAGCATAAGTCAACTTTGCGATAGAGGGTTCAAGATCAAATTCAACAAAGAAGAATGCCTTATTATGGATGAGGCAACCAATGAGGTAAAACTCAAAGGTATAAGATCTAACAATATTTTTATGATTACTCTAGATGATTTGCCTATGAAGGTACAATGTCTTATGGTAAACAACAATGACGCTTGGTTATGGCACAAGAGGATTGCTCACATACACATGGAGCACTTGAACAAATTGGTTAAGCATGACTTAGTTATTGGTCTACCAAAGATGAAGTTCATCAAAGACAAATTATGTAGTGCATGCCAAAAGGGCAAACGGACCAAATCAACTTTCAAACCAAAGAATGTGGTTTCAACAACAAGACCACTTCAATTGCTGCACATGGATCTTTTTGGTCCATCTAGAACAAGAAGCTTCAGAGGTAACATTTATGCTTTAGTTATTGTAGATGACTTTTCCCGTTTCACTTGGACTTTGTTTTTAGTGCACAAAAATGAAGCATTCAAGGCATTCAAGAGATATGCAAAACAAGTTCAAAATGATAAGTCATTAAAGATAACATCAATCCAAAGTGATCAGGGTGGAGAGTTCCAAAACAGTCTATTTGAAGAATTTTGTGAAGAAAATGGGATCTTCCACAATTTTTCAGCACTAAGAACTCCACAACAAAATGGAGTAGTTGAAAGGAAAAATAGGTCTTTGGTGGAGCTTGCAAGAACCATGCTAAGTGACTCAAGTTTGCCTAAATATTTTTGGGCGGATGCGGTAAGCACGGCATGTTACGTAAGCAATCGCGTGATCATAAGACCTATACTAAAGAAAACTCCATATGAGATTTACAAAGGAAGAAAACCAAATATCTCTCACTTTCATATTTTCGGGTGCAAATGTTTTGTCCTTAACAACGACAAAGACAATCTCGGTAAGTTCGATGAAAAATCGGATGAAGGTATTTTTCTTGGTTACTCCCTTTCTAGCAAAGCCTTTAGAATTTACAATAAAAGAACTTTAACTATAGAAGAATCAATGCATGTTTCTTTTGATGAATCTAACACCTCCAAGGAGGAAGTTGTTATTTGTGATGATGATGATTCTATAGATCTATCTCATGAGAATTCTTGCGGAGATGGCAAAATTGTCAATCCGGAACAAACACATGAACTTTCACATCAAAATGAAAATGATGATGATC